GTAGAATTAAGGCAGTTCTGAAGGCGAAAGGGGGTCAAACACCGTATTAGTATGGTGTTCCTAATAATCCTTTAGGTGAGTGTATATCTGTCCACTGGAGAGATGTTTTCACATTGTCCTCAAACACCCTCTGATATGATGAAGAATTCATAGTGGATTATATGATGGTGAGCTGGCCAGGTTCTGCTGCAGCAAAGCAGCCCCAAACCATGACATTTCCACCCCCATGCTTCACACACAGTTGGTATGAGGTTATTTGGCTCAAAAGAGTCTTTGGCTTATGCCAAACGTGTCCTCTGTTACTGTGTCTAAATAATTCAATAATAGATTCATCTGTCCAAAGCATGTTATTCCAAAAGTCCTGGTCTTTGTCTAGCTGGTCTCTGGCACTTAGTCTCGCCCTGATGTTTCATCCTTGCACACTTCCCATGTCAATCAAACTTGTGGAGTCTCTTTCTGATGGTAGATGCAGGTGATGTTAACTGTGGCAAGAGCTTCCTGTATGTCCCATAATGACATTTTAGGATTTTTGGAGACTTCTTTCAGAATCTTGCGGTTTGCTCTTGGGCAGAACTTGCAAGGACAGCCTGCCCTGGCTATGTTGGCAGTTGTTTTTAATGTTTTCCCTTGTAAATAATTTTCCGGACAGTGGTATGGCTGATTCCAAATTCTCTTTATATCCGTCCCAGACTCATATGCATGTACAATCTTCTTTCTGAAGGCCTCAGAGAGCTCCTTGGATCTCACCATGCCGATATCACACACACAATCAAGAGCAAATCAAATGAAATGTCTGTGGTTTAAATTGGACAAGCTCCAGTAAAAAGCTCTGTAATGATGTTCTAATCATTTTCACCTGATGTGCGCCCCCCTGAATCTAATTCTATGAATTTTAAATAGTAATGAATGTGAGGGTGTCCTTTTTCCTCAGTGGAAATAGGCATCTTAGCTAATTTCTTTTGTTAAATAAGTGAATTTGTTTCTTGTTTTTGCATAGGGGATGCAATTACATTGCCTTTATCTACAAATATAAGTTGTCCTAATTTTTTCACATGACTTTACCTACAAATTTCACTTAAAGACAGACTTAGGGAACGGATCTCGTCTCGGCTCAAAAAGACTTAATATCCTTTGTTTACACAGTAAGAGTTGGAAATTTAAAGTCACTTACCCCACGCTGGCTTCAGTAGCTACCATCAGCATCACGGCAAGCAGTCCTGCTGGGTAGGCCCTGAAAGTAAGGGTTAGCAGTCAGTGAAGGCGAGTGGGCCCTGAGGGGTGGGGTTAGCAGTCAGTGAAGGCGAGTGGGCCCTGAGGGGTTGGGTTAGCAGTCAGTGAGGGCGAATGGGCCCTGAGGGGTGGGGTTAGCAGTCAGTGATGGCGGGTGGGCCCTGAGGGGTGCGGTTAGCAGTCAGTGAGGGCGGGTGGGCCCTGAGGGGTGCGGTTAGCAGTCAGTGAGGGCGGGTGGGCCCTGAGGGGTGGGGTTAGGGTCGCCTATAGTTCCCCCAGCTCCACCTCGTCGGTCGCCTACATCTTCACTGGCTGTGGTTTTGCCGTCACCTGTCACGGCTTCTACTCCCTACTCGCCTCCTCCGGTGTCCCCTTCGCCTCCCTCCTCGTCTCCTCCAGCAGTCCCTTCGCTTTTCTCATCACCCTCTTTGGAGTCACCTCTGCCTCCTGCCTCGCGGTCACTGAGGGTCCCTCCGGCTCTGGCCTCGAGGTCACCTGTGGCCCCGGCTGCTCCTGCCTTCCGCTTGCCGGGATTCCCTCCGGCTCCCTGGTTCCCCCCGCCCTTTGCATCTTTGCCCCTTGTGTTTGTTCCCCATCCCTCTGTTCTGCCCTTGTTCCCTCCTGGTCCCTTCCCTCCTCTGGTTGGTGTGCCCCCTATTTGGTCCCTCCTGTGTGTTTGTCTTCTGGTTGTGTTTCCCCTGTGTCTTTTGGTTCTGTGTTTCCATCATTGGTGTCCGTGTGTGTGTGTATGCGTTCCCCGTGGTGTGTTAGCTGTTCTCGTTGCCCCATTAATGTTCTTGCGTTTGTTTCCCGTACGTCCCGTAGGTGCTGTCCCATTGTGCCCTGTTGCCCCTTTGGTCCCTTTAAGCACGCCCGGAGAGCGTGCCTTTGGGGGGGGGGGGTTCCTGTCATGCCCCGATCGTGCCGATCCTCTTGTGTGCCACGCCCCCTCATCTACCCCATGTAGAATCCCCGTGTTACCAGCTGTTCGGTCATGTTAATTGCTGTTGTGTACTTAGGTCAATGTTAGAGTGTGTTTCCCCAGTCCTGCCACTGACGTTGTGTGTTCCTGTTCGTGTCGACCCCTAATAAATCCCTCGTTTACTCGACTGCATGACTCCCTTTGCCTGTTTCCCTGCTCCGTATGTATGACAATGTCTTTTAGCACAAACGTTTACAGCTTACTGAAATTTACACAGACTGTTACCTTTTACTTCGCTTGTTCCAGTTAATTATAGTATTCAGCATGTCAGACAAAACAAACCTTACAAATTTTATGAGTAAAAGCCAAAATAATGTCATATGGTAATAAGAAAATAACACGAGACACGATACAGCAACGAATAATGTTACATTACAGACTGAAACCTTTGCCCTTGAAAAGCATTGCCTAGGTATTGAAAGACCTTATTAACACATACATTTGAATCGTGTTGACGCTGTATAAAAATGCCCCGTCTAGAAGGGGGAAAAATGCCACATCGCAACATCCGGAGGGGAAAAATACCCCATCTAGAAGGGGGAAAAATGCCATGTCGCGACACCTGGAGGGGAAAAATACCCCATCTAGAAGGGGGAAAAACGCCACGTCGTGACGTACGGAGGGGAAGAAATACCCTGTCTAGAAGGGGGAAAATGCCACGTTGCGACGTACGGAGGGGAAGAAATACCCTGTCAAAAAGGGGGAAAACGCCACTTCGTGAAGTACGGAGGGGAAGAAATACCCCGTCTAGAAGGGGGAAAAACTCCGCGTCGCGACGTATGGAGGGGAAGAAATACCCAGTCTAGAAGGGGGAAAACGCCACGTCGCGACGTACGGAAGGGAAAAATACCCCGTCTAGAAGGGGAAAAACGCCACGTCGCGATGTACGGAGGGGAAGAAATACCCCGTCTAGAAGGGGGAAAACGCCACGTCGCGACGTACGGAGGGGAAGAAATACCCCNAAAACGCCACGTCGCGACGTACGGAGGGGAAGAAATACCCCATCTAGAAGGGGGAAAAACGCCACGTCGCGATGTATGGAGGGGAATAAATACCCCGTCTAGAAGGTGGAAAACGCCAGGTCGCGACGTACGGAAGGAAAAAATACTCCGTCTAGAAGGGGAAAAACGCCACGTCGCGATGTATGGAGGGGAAGAAATACCCCGTCTAGAAGGTGGAAAACGCCAGGTCGCGACGTACGGAAGGGAAAAATACTCCGTCTAGAAGGGGAAAAACGCCACGTCACGATGTATGGAGGAGAATAAATAATTCAATTCAATTCAATTTTATTTATATAGCGCATTATCACAACATTACATTGTCTCAATGCGCTTTACATTTCTGCCTCGTAAGGACCCCCCATTGAGTAAGCCAAAGGCAACGGTGGCAAGGAAAAACTCCCTAAGAGGGTAATTGTCTTGTAGGCAGCAGAGGCATAAATTCTTCAACGACATTGTGCTC